CACTGGTTTTGTAATTTTTTTCTCTATCAAATGGCGTAAAAACGTCCATAATAAATAAAAAAGTGACCATAACGTCGCTATTTGTTAAGCTACAGGAAACCTTGACTGGGATTTTGCCTATTTAAGCGAGTTTCTATCTTTTACGGTTTACGAGATCCTCATAATGAAAATGAAAAAAACTACAGTATAATTTATGGATCAAACGAACTTACCTTAAGTGAAGTTCGATCCAAATTATGAGTTGCTCTCGTTGAAATAAATATAAGTGTAGTACCCCCTATTCTACGCATCTAAACCACAACGTTTTAAAGACAAAAAATCACGTACTCCACCTCGCACGCCGCCAGCCAGGGGCGAACCCGTAAATCGTCATTCATTCAAAGCTGATGTTGTTGTCACTTGGGCTCGGGATGGGTGGGACATATTTATTTCAACGAGAGCAACTCATAATTTGGATCGAACTTCACTTAAGGTAAGTTCGTTTGATCCATAAATTATAAGTTGCTCTCGTCTCATAAATATAAGTGTAGATCTTGAAAGAAGCAACAACATCTAATCAAAGTATCATAACTTCATCAAAACCTATTAGGTTACTAAAAGTGCCTAAATTAGAATTGAGCGTTCTAAAGAAATCAATACACTGAACAAAAATTTCGGTGCTTCACTATTAATTAAAGAGGACTGCACTAGCAAGTCCTGTAATTTGTCAAAGGGTCTAAGTCTTTTATAAAATCGAGCAAACGTCTGTGACTTTGCCGACCAACTAGCAATAGTTATAGAAGCTGAAGCATGCCGAGTATTGTGTGCAGCAAACAAAATAGTATCCATCCCACTAGATTTTAAGACATCTTAATCCACCTGCTAATTGACTGACTCGACACCTTCTGAAGGGATCTCTTGTGGGCTATAAAAAAAAAACTTTGACCAGAACGGGCCCTAACGAGTCTGGTCTTATCCAAGTATTTTAAATGGTAGAGGTCACACAAATCAATTCTTAAAAAATGGAAAACGCAGCACCGGTTGATAACGATTTCTGCCAGAGGTCTTAATCCTTAAGGGAATCTTGATTTCAATCTTGTTTTCTAAAATCGTTATGTCCTCAACCAGAATGTTAGAAAGCGTTTGCACATATTCAGTTGCTAAATTCAAAAATCTCTTAATAGGCCTGCTTTCACTACGTCAAAATTTCAAATATGACCCAGGGCAGGCCGATCTGAATTGAGGGTTCTAAAGGAGACCCCTCAATCAACTCGCAGGCAAGACATACTCTAAAACATGGCTGGGAGAACTATTAAAAACATCTAGCCCATTATTTAAACAAAAAATCCACCAACGTTTCAAGCCACTATCGTATTGTTTTAGTGTGCTCGAAATAGATTTTACTCGTATAAAAATATCCACAGCTGCCAAGGGAACATCTTTCCGCTTTAAGGCTTCCCTGACAAGATTCCTACCACCAGAGAAATCCGTCTTGGTAATGGGTGTGGTCGCTTATCAAAAGAGAAAAGCCTGCTGTTAGGTTTAAGTACCTGCTATTGATGGGCTGTCTAACATACATTTAAACAATGGAAACCATGGTCGAGTTTGCCAAAGAGGCACACTATAATTCCCTTAGCTTTATCGGCATCCTATTTAGGATTTTTAAAATTAGGGCAAATAAGGAGAAGGTCAGCCCAGCTTACAGTGAAAGAATTTACTTCGCTGGCTTCCGGATCTCTAAACGAAGATATAAATCTATCACATTCCTATTTAGGAGTTTTAAAATTAGGGCAAAGAAGGTCAGTCCAGCTTACAGTGAAAGAATTTACTTCGCTGGCTTCCGGATCTCCAAACGAAGATATAAATCTATCACATTTTTTGTTTAACCTATTAAATCAATGACCGTGTCACGAAACGTGTGTGAGACCGATTTGTCCAAATGCAAGGTTTCAGTTTCTATTGACAGGACTCTGCGCGATTCTCGATCAGTATCTATGTGTTCAACCGACCTTATATAATGTGCAAAAAGAAAGATGTTTCTATTCTTGCGCAGCTGCCCAAATCTCTTTAGTTACAATATTAAGTTTTGGAAATCGAACACTGCCCATCTTATTAATACAAGCAATTGCTGTGGTATTGTCTATATGCGACATACAATGTGCTTGTTTTTAATATTCCTTGCAAAACATTTTGGGCTAAAGACAGCAACCTGTAATTTAAAAAGGTGTATATGGTAGGACTGCTATGGAACTGACCAATGGCCTGTGTTTGAAGCATCTGAACAAACTTCCAAGTAAAATTGTAATTTCTCTAAGGAATTTGAGGGAGTCTGATATTTCTCCAACAGGGCGCTACGCCTCTCTGTAAAAATTCCCTTTTTTAAAATCCAATCTCATCTAAGGTGATGGCGGAGTCCACTGCTGGATAAACCTTATGTAACGGAAGGTCACCTTCTCCTAAGAGGGAGAGGATTTCTGCACTGTTCCGCTGAACAAGAACGGCGGGGGCTTCGCGTTTCCTGAATTTGATCAACTTTTCAACCACCACTAAAATTCCTTTAGACTAGAGGGAATCTCCATGATTGTGTCATAATTTTCTCCATGAGAATTTAAAGCAGTTTTACTCTTTCAAAACTCCTGAAGCCAACCAAATTCCATGGTAGGGTTTATGGGAACCATCTTTCCTACCAGCGTAGCAAAATCGTGTATTTTGCAAACTTTTAGGACACAACAATTTTGAAAAGTTTCTCAACTTCTTTATCAAGAATTTTCGAGAGGATTTTAATAGACATTTCTATATTATGGGTAACCCCAAAACTTCACTCAGAACCCTGTGAGGAACCATACAACTCTTTACTTATAAAAAACCCAAAGGCTTCAAAAGAGTACTCGTCTCAGGACCGTTATGCAAGCAATTCCTATAGGAATCTCCTAAAAGCAAAAAGTTGTCCAGATAAACCACTGAAAAAGTTCAGTAGTTCTAAGGTGGGAACCAACTGGATAAATCTCCGTTAAATGAAAATATCAAAATTAACGAAATCTAGGCACCGTCTCTGAAAAATTATTCCAGATAAATTGCCCGGAACAACTGCTCACTCGGCTAATAGCTCCCAATTTTAAAAGGTCAGCTAAGGCTTTTTGTAAGTTAATCAACGCTGTCTGTGACCAAGTCAGTTCCCATTTTACAAGAACTGTTGTAGATACTTTTAAGAAAGGAATATATATTCCCTTTATCCACGACAAAACAGTACTAGTCTTAGTAATACTAAGCCAAGAAGAGTAAACATTTTTCAATCTTCCAGCCAAACGACTTACAGGTAATGCTGTCTCAGATGCTTTTTTGCAGGTCTCCTCTGTTGCACCTGCAATCATTTGCTATAGATTTCTCCCCTCCAGCAGGAATGCTGGTCGCGCATTGTAAATGGGTAGAGGCCGTCGATGGAAAGGTTGACGGTCCCGCTGAACTCAAGGGAACAGAGATTGACCCCTGGCGTTTTTTGCTGCCCGAGAATCAACTGGAGCTTTTGGCTTAGCAAGCCTCAATTCTCGGCCCACTCTCTCCAAATTTTTGGATGCTCTCCATCTCTCGTTCAGATTCATTCCGAACAGCTAATCAGCCACACATTATGCGGCTTGTTCATAAACTCGTTACTGAATCCTAGGACAAGTAACTCTTTCCTCGTGGAAGAATACAATCAAAAAATGCGACCAATAGTTTGCCTGCATCGCTGAGGGATTGCACCACCTAGGTATACGTTGGTCTCCCTCCCCTGCTGCGCAAGGAAAACGCCCTTCCAAATGCAGAAATGCTGCAACACAATTGCGTCTGAAAATCAAGCAAGCGGTTGTCTCGGTTCTTTGACGCTACATTAATAGCTGCACGAGAAAAGGGGCGGTCTATAGCTTGTCTGCATGGCTGAGGGATTTCACAACCTGAAGGTTGGTCTCCCTGTCCTCCCGCAACAGCAAGGAAAATCGCCTTCCCAATTGCAGAAATGCTGCAACATAATTGCTTCTGAAAACTAAGCAAGCAGTTGTCTCGGTTCCTTGACGCTGCATTAATAGCTGTCGCCACTTCCAAGCTTAGCTTTGGGGCCTCTAACAATTTGCAGTGGGTCAGAGGAGGGTAACGGAGCACACATTCCGTTCGAGTTCGAATATCTTCACTCAACCTCCGCTTTCATAATATTTATCCAATTTGCTTCTCCGTGTTAGCTCGATTACGATTTATTTTCATGATGGCTTTATATATATATATAAAAAAACTAAATTGGCGTTCAACCGATTCCTATACGGCGACCTCAGAGGATCTGTCCCTTTCCGGCAATTTCCGAACACACATGGTTAAGTTTACCCTCTGCGGCCAATACAAAGAAATGTAACGCTAAGAGTCACATCTTAATTAATTTACGCCCAACTTCTTTGACGAGATTTCGCCGCTGTCCCACAAAGCAGCTGGTCGAATTTAAAATTCTAACATCCGTAACGCCAATAATAATTTTCACACGTCTTTGGATAAGGGAATGTCGTGGACATCAGTGTTACATTTCGCATTTTTCTCTAAAACAAAAGCCCGCGGAAGTTTTCTAACAAAATTCCTTGTAAGACAAACAGTGTCAAAAGGAAAAATAGTTAGTAAAGCTAAAGAACGTAACAGTTCTAATTTCTACGGCTCATTTCCGCAGTAAAAAACGCTACTTAGCGCCAAGCCAATGAAATGGCCATTGTTTATTCGAATAGACGTATAAATAGCCATAGGCCTATTTAGCGGGGTGAAGGAATTCGTCGCGCTCTTAAACGACCCCACATAACAAGGCAAGAAAGCCGAGCTAACAGTAGGTCCTTCATCATGTTAAAAAACAAGATAGATAAATATCTACGTTATTTAACAAGGCATTCCAAAAATGGTACGTAATTACCAAAAGGGAAAATTCACTTAAAATGACAAGCTCAATGATGTCATTGGCCTAAGAGGAATATTCCTCTAAAACGATCGCAACAATGCGAAAATTAATTAAATACCTTTTTCGGACAGCTCCTCATCCCGAATTGCAGCCTCCTCGCGAAACCGTCCGTCAGTCCGTGCGGAAATTTATATTTCCGCGGAAATGTATATCTCCACTATTGACCGTGAACAATTCGGGAGTATTCCCGTCTCGATTCCCGTGGTCAGAAGTGGTATCAGCGGCATCGCTGAGGCTAGAGAATCGTCATCTCGCTTCCATTTGGTCGAAACGGAATTAAATACGTCGGACACTTAAGACGGCTCCTAATCCCGAGTACTTGGGAAAATCGTCCGTGCGTGCGAAAATGTATATTTCCGCGGAGATGTATATCTCCGTAATTGACCGTGTCCATTTCGGGAATATTCCCGCGGTCAGAAGCTGGTATCAGCCGTATCGCTGAGGCTATGGAAAATTGCCATCTCGTCGAACAGAAACACTAAACGCCGAAATACAACAAAACACGTGTGGTTTAAACCGCACAAAATAGAAGAATGACGATTTACGGGTTCGCCCCTGGCTGGCGGCGTGCGAGGTGGAGTACGTGATTTTTTGTCTTTAAAACGTTGTGGTTTAGATGCGTAGAATAGGGGGTACTACACTTATATTTATGAGACGAGAGCAACTTATAATAATAATATATAATCAATGAAAATATACAAAGAAATTTTGATAAAATACTAACAAAACGTCAAAACGTTCTGTCCGAAACTGGAAAAAATGTTAACTTTTTTAATGTATGGTTTTTGCCTTTCATTTGGTTAGTCAAACGATTAAAAATCGATCAGATGGTATTAGGGTTGGTGAGCACACAGATAATACTTTACGAACGTATGTCTAGACTTGTAGAGAATTAGAAGTGAATTATTACGGTCAAATTCTGACTATTGAAAACAGAATAATTATTTCCAGGATTTAGTACACGTAACATCTTCATGTAATGACCTTACATAATCACTAATACGTGACAAGTCTGTATTTTAGTCAATGAACAGTTTAGTAAATTAGTAGGATTAGTTAAATATTTCCAGACGCTGAACAATCACAAAAGTATTACCTATCTTGCAAATTGCACATTAGGAGAAAAGGGAACTGGAATACTTAAAGTGAAAAGTACTTGCAGATAAATAAAACGACTCTTCTAACATTACTTATGGTCAAGAATGTCTGTTCGTATTTTATTTATTACTGCAACCTTTTCAAATCACTAATGGTGTCTTAGATAATGGCGCTTAAGATGATGTTTCCTTTTATATTTTTGATGGCACTTAGAACATTTGAAACCATATTTGTTTCCACAGTAATACCTTTTGTGCACATAAAGGGAGTTGTGTTTTGTGTAACCTCTTCCACATCGATCGCAAAACCATTTTTGAAGAGCGAATAAACTTCCTAAAAAATAATAAGTTAATTACATTCAAAGGTATAGAATTACAAATATGCTTAAAACGTTATAATAGGACTGCACGTTTCCTAATCTATAAGTATAAAGACGTAAATTTGTAAGCTTATATTATACGAAAAACTGTACACTTTCTACGAAACCACTGAATGAATTTTTAATAAATGCTTTTGCAGATGAACCCTTTGATGTGCTCGATATGTGCACTGATAGCACTTGAACATAGGCTCCTTTCCACAGTCATATTTTATGTGGCGATTTAGGGCAGTTTTAGATAAATATCTTTTTTGACACGTTGAACAGTGAAAATATTTTACTCTCAAAACATAACCTAAAAATAAACGAATTAGTGTATGCAAACTTAAAAAATCTGAAGTGACATATAGACTACCTACGCATGGTGACTACACTTTGTAAATCAGATTTTTTCACCATCTCTTCTGGTATAATACCTATACTGTGAAAAAATGACAAAATTTCCCCTTATTTATTTCAAAAACAATTTGGATTAAATTACAGATTTCATAGACATCACAGTAGCATTCTTTAATTTGTGTTTATTTATAAGATGAAGTTTTAAATTTCCTTTCGTCTTAGATTTGTAAATACATGTGTCCACCGGGCATTGAAATTGTGGATCCTTGCCACATTCATAAACTTGGTGTTGTCGTAATCCTTGCGGAAATTTGTAACATCGCAAACATTTTTCGCATTGATATGGTTTCGCAACCGGAATATTTAAGGATGTATTCAAATCTACAACACGACATAGTTATATTGCCATACGTGAACAACTTCACTGTAACATTTAAAGAAAATTGAACTGGATCCATAACTCTCGCAACTTATAGTATGGTGACTAAATGCAGATCGCTACTAGCTGATATTCAAAATTATTTGTTAAACAACTTATACTATATAATAATGATTTCTTGTATTTACTTTAAGGAGCTAACAGAAAACCGGGTTTGCTGATTTTAGCAGGTCATGTCGCACCATTTTGTAAAAAAATGAAAAAAATACAATCCATCTAATTTTATTGCGGAAAACTGAAATTAATTGTTTTGACACACTATACCTTCCTTGTTCACCCTCACACTACTTCTATAATGGCAAAGATGAGTAAAATAGCACAACACATACAGTCCAAGTCTTTTATTGTAGAATGCGAATGTGATCTCCATTTTCCTCACCGTGTCTATTTATTAGACTTTATAAAGATGAAATGTGGTATGTATTAGTGAAGATGGACACTTCTTCAATAAATATCAGACCCAACAGAAAACTAGTCGAAAACTAGGTAGGTACTTGACGATTTTTTTAATATGAAAACAAAATGAATTTGCTCTTTGTAAAGCAAACGAGATTAAATACTAGCGATATGTACCAACTGTTTAAAAAACCAGTACCACGCATCAGTTTCTTTAATGTTGGTACCTACTATTACATCACTAGTTGAAAATATCAATCGTTTGTCCCGTTAGCATTACAGAAGATAATTTATATTGTAAAAGGACACGAATGTTTGATTTAGGCATTAATTTGAATTCGAATGTAGCGTATAAAATTGAAAGAAAATCAATACAAACCGGGATATCCTACATATATGAAATTAAGCAAAAATAGTTATTTGTTTCATTAGTACAAAAAATGTCAGTTTTCGGGACGAGGAAGATAGTTGCTGGACGACGCGTTAGCGGAGTCCAGCAACCTTCCGAGTCCCGAAAACGCATTTTTTGTACGAATAAAACATAAAATTTTTTCTCCAACCCCCTTTACTTCAAATTATATTCGAATTTAGATTCAGTCACAGTTTCACTACTAGTATAAGAACTTCTGCTTTCTTGTCCTCACGTGTCATGCCACTCTAGTTTTTAGGTAATTTATAACCCATTCGTTCTTACTTCTTACTTCTTACCTCTCGCGACTTTGTAGGGAGCAAATCTTGAGGTAGCATGTTCTGCCGTTTCTATAATCTCTGGCGGAGTGTAATCCATGTCGCTATCAGTTTCGGTCATTTTATTGTATACACAATTAATATTGTTATATTTTGTATTGAAATAAAAAACTTACCATACAGTTTTTTAATTAAAATTAATTGCAATTAACTTTTTCAAATTTTGAATTCAAAATGACAGATAATAGTGCAATTGGTCTGATGTAGATGGCGTTACGCGCGACGGCGGGTTGTATACGTATTAAAATTACGTTCACGGAATACGTAAATTACGTTACACATGGTTTAAATAAAAATAGCGAGCGTAAATCATTTTCAATACATGTACATACGTATAGGTAACATAATTATTTGCATTGAATATGCAAAAATATTTGATTTGTATGTATAGAAATATCTTACAACCTGCAATGTAAAACGATGCCAATGTGACATATCTCCGTGATTGTAATTTTTTAATTGGCCAACTTTCAAGGTCAATTTCTTTTTGGTACTAGGACCAAAAGTATCCACTTTTTGTACAGTTGCCATGGTGAAAGCGATTAATCCGCAAAACGTCAATTTTAGGTACCGAACACTGTCACAAAATAGCGTCTTATTCAGGTGGTTGGAGAAAAAATATTTTAGTTGCAACGAAATTACGTATAATGAGCAACCGGCATTTACTCGTAAGAGTTTGCACATACAATAAAGTTTAAATAATGGTCAAAGGTTGGTAACTTGAATTTGAAATGCGATAATGAAACGTTGACTTAGGCCTTTGAATATCTACATTCAAAGCTTAGGCTCTCCATCCCATACTTATCGGTGAGAAGCCATGTACCTATAAATAAACTATACTCTTATTTATGCCATGTAAGTAAATACTAAAGTAAGTCACAATGTCGTGTATTATAAAAAATAGTTACACCTTTGTATATTCAAAGGTTACACAAAATTCACAAACAATGCCGGATGCTTGCGACGTAAATGGTGTACTAGCATATATTTGCGTCTTGTGGAGTAACTGCAAGCAGTACAGAAAAATTGGGGGTCTTTTCCGCAAACGGAATGCATGTGTCTTCTGAGATTATCAACTCGTGTAAATGTCCTACCGCACACTTTGCAGTGGTACTGTGCGCTATTTTCCTTTTTAGTCGTCGATCCTAAAACAAAATCTTGTTTAGCAAGCACAACTAATAGTAATTATACACCAAAGGATGTAAAAAAGAGAGTTTCCTGAGTCAAGCTGTACTAAAGGTAAGGTAAGGTTGCAACTTGCAACTGTACGAGGTTAAAAAAATCTCCATTACCGTCATCATATTATATTTTATTCACTATAGCTGGAGTCAGTATGGACAAACGTTGGACATACGTTTCTAAAGTGGAGAATGGCCTACCGATCACATCACATCAAAATAAAGATTTTTTTGTTTCAAATCATCTGAAAATGATTCTCAAACATTCCAAATGCTTCCCAGAAACACTAGCCAGAGAACAATATGATCTCCTCAAAATCAGCCTAGGTTGTTTTAGTTCTAGCAGTTTTGTTAAAGATGTGGTAAGATCGCACTAGCGGGAACTGCACTGCAATGAAGCGATGCGAGGCGATGCCTCGCTACAAGATATGTATAGGGGTGTTGCATTTGAACTGCTGTGGCGCGACACTGCAACATTTTGTTAAACAGTCATAATGTGTCTTATGAGCAAGGTAACTGAAATTAAATTAATTCATCTGCACTAGCAGCAGTGAAACTACGATGCCCGCCACGGCGTAGTGCGGGATGTGTCATATAAATTCAATAACATAATATTTGTCTGCATCATACCGCGTCGCTCCGCTACAGTGCAGTTCAGTTAGTGCAGTCTTACCTTTATGGTTTATTGTACCTATAGAAATAGATTACCGTATGATTTCCAATTGACCACGCTCGATTAAATGCGGTTAAAGCAGAAATGTCAGAAAGGAACAGAATTGGTGGTAAATTAAATATCCTGCGACCACACCTCCAAAATCGAAATTCATCGTCAGAAATCCGAAACGATCAACCATAAAAAGTTCTTTTTTCATTATTTTACATTTTTATTGCAAGAAGTTAAAATTTATCACAAAAGTGGAATTCGCCTGCACATAATGGAGACCTTTTTCGACAGGATTTTTTCGTCCACTCTACGCGCTAACATCTATAAATCAAGTATTCAATGCCCATATCTAAAACCCTCAGGGGCATCAAGAATCCAGACAAAATATGC